ATCCGGGTTGGATTCCAAAATCTTGCAGTCATTTGGAAGTCAATCATGTACGACAACTGGTTATCTAACATTCATCTGATTTTGAATGTTCTCATAAGAAGAAGTTTATAGGAATACTTTGATAAATGAGCCATTTTTATCTTTAAAGCTGTGAAGCATGGAAGTAATTCATTTCACCGAACGATGTCATTTTGACGGTAGTAGAAGTCACTAGAAAACCATTAAACCTGGGCGTGAAAGGCGTAGTGGAGAGAATTAGAGTGATATGTTTACTTTGTGGGAGTTACTGGTAATAATCATACAGAAATGTTACGGAAGGTTTGGTCCGCCTGACTAACACTGCACGTGCAGAAAATACATTAAAACTGAAACTTGAATATGTATTCATTTATTTATCGATTTTTTTATATTCACATGACTGAAAATAAAATTTCGTTTACTTTAACATAAATGTAAGTCCTTTTTCAATAACAAATTCCGGCTTATTGTTTCCTGTGAAATTCTAATGTTTCCGTAGCTCTTAATGTCAGAAGGTCTATCGCGCATCCATTTCCATGGTCTTGGCACGGGGATCATCCTTTGTATTTACACTGGGCCAGGAATAGGTGTGACACAAGAGATGGCAAACAAAACAAAAAGGTTTCCATCTCGAGAGGCGAGAGATCGTGGGCGATAGGCGACAAAGTACAAGGAGATAGACATTAGTTGTCTCTTATTGCAGTTTAAACGATCTGATTGGTCAGTACGGAGTGTGGCGTTCATTGTCGATAATGGATTAGAATTGGATGGCACAATTATGCACTTATTGTTTTCTTATCTGCCTGGCATGGCCAATATTGAATTATTTAGTGATGTGAAATATGTCAGCGACATACATGTAATTTTAAGCTGAAGTGTTGGCACCATGCTGTGATGAGACACCATTTGAACACATATTAGTCCTTCTGTATTTTCCATACAATTGATACAGAGTTGACGTCTTGCGACAGAACAGCATAGGAATGTTTCTCGTTAAATACATCCCGATAGGTGATCAGATATGTTTGGGTAACGGTGTATACTTTCTATGGTATAGGGTACTCGTATTATGTCGCATTCATGTTTGTAATTAATTATCGTTAAACTTGATTATTCTTTCACTATTAACAAACCGTGGTGTTTATTACGTCTGCCAATTTTCGCGCGTGCATAACTCGTCGATATCTTACACCTACCGGTCCATGTACATTTATTGACCCTACCGCCTATAAATGTGATTAATGATATCGATATGGCGTAGCTCTGAGGTAATGACAAGGTAGATGTGGAGAAAATAGCTATCGTTCCATACCAGCTGTAATCTTCATAGCATGTTTCATTTCCTGCTAATTAACCTTGTAATAAATCCCCCATTAATTAAGTAATTTCAGTAACGGTAGTAATGTGGGTTTCCAATAACATCCGGTCCGACCCGCATTTAACGCTCTAGGCCTACAGAGAAAACCTATCGTATCTCGTTGAAGACACAAAGTCTGATGATAGGACGTATTCAGCTGCAAATAATGTGTTGTATTTGAAAGGTCTAAATGGTCAACATTACCAGACTATTCAATAGGCACAATTTATATATCACATTGCTTAAACTGATCTAAATTGAAGTAGAATTGCTGTTATATGGAATAGTGTTGTTACTTGATAGATACGTCATGCTTCCGATTCGGTAACGTTGGGCATATACACCACCAACTCGTCTGCCAGGCTATAACAATAGTCTTGTAATAGAAATACAGTCAGTTGTATTTATCGTTCATAGCAAATCCAATTCAATGATATTTTGACTCCAATTATAGTTCTGTTTAGAAATATTGAACACAGGCGTTTAACAGTCGTATCGACATTTTTAGTAGACGAAACAATGTCTAAAGCTGTGTCAGTCGTAAAATAGACATCAGCAATGGGAAAAAGTCTGGATGAGTTTTAAAAAACGTTCATTTGGGGTTTTAGACTTAAAGAAGACAGTTTCGTACGACGGTCGTTTAATTAATTTTTTGTGATATACACATAATGAAAGCACTTGTATTGAAAAACGACGACTGATGAAGGGACGAACCAATTCACTCACTAACCACATCCTGGACTGTACATGACTTATTGGTGCACCCGTCGTGCTTGTGTTATTGTCATACGCTATTGGTTAAACAAATAGATTAAATAATATGCACGTATAAATCAAATGGAACATATAAATGATCTCTAAGACTTGATTCTCGTTATGGTATTGAAAAGAGTTTAAACATGTTCGTTGATTTGTTAGAATGATTAGTTTTAATCTAAAGAAATACATGTTCTCAATTGCATCTTGTATTATTCAATTTTCCAATTCAGCCTGAAACGACACAAAAAGTTCTACAGATGAATAATATTTACTGATTTAAAACTATTTTAAACGTGGGGGAAGTAACTGTAGTCACTAACCCACTTTTCATGATGGTATAAGGTGACGATTTTATGGTTTTTCTGCTTACTATCTCTCTTAACGCTATACCAACTTCACTTTCGGCCTAATTAATACAGAGCGTCCATCTAAATGAGAAAGGATTTGGGTTCTATCACCATGCCGTGGCATACCCAAAAATGCCATGAAAATGGTACGTCATGCTGCCTGCTTGTCGCTTTGCATTACATTAGATGAACTGGCAATGGTTGCCCGTTGCCAGCATACAAGGACCGGGCGGGGTAACATGGCCATTTCCATCATATCTGTAATTACATTATAAAAACATATGTTAGCGGCTTCACCATCGGTGGACATTCAAAGAACCCGGGTGTTGCAACGATAAAACCCCAATAAAACAAGCATATCATCAAACGTTTAAAACAGTGTATAAAGTTTGTGGATATGGTTTGAAAACTTCACACCACTCAAACTGAATCACAAAATCGCCATGAGTTAGTATGTCTGTGCCCTAAGATATCGAATAAAACTAGTTCCGGTTTTTGACCCATGTTATCACCAATGAAGCCTTTATTGACGAAACATCTGCACGGCACATTTATATATGTAAAATCAGTATCCATCATATACTGTATTCATTACTAAATTTTATTGGAAGCTTTGGTCCCATGTGTGTTTCGTATGTTCCTGGTTGGGATACCTACTTCCTCCACAATTTGATCTAAGAATAGCTAACAATTATATAACAAGAAAACGTCCCACACAAATGAGCAAAAACTAACATTGTGTTCGTGTTCGGAAGGTTTTACAGGTGATATCGTATTATTGTCTTACAAAAGTGAATAACGTCATGTAGTGTCAACATAATGTACAAAACAAGGTTAGTGTAGAAATGTACAAGCGTGATGTCAAACATCAAACAACTGTTAATGACTAAATCATTTTGGCGCCATCATAATGTTATCTTTATAACATGTAATATGCTTTCAACGTCAGACAAAATAGACCCTCCTGGAACTATTAACTATTAACCGTGGCACGACTTCTGCGTAATCAAAATCGTAATTAACACGATAACAACCGTTTTATTTTAAATGTAATGAATGTTTTAGGGCTCGCCAACTGTGTATCTAAATAAAGTTTGTGCCATGATATTTGATTCTAAAGCATTATCTTGTTCCCACCAGTATTCATGTATATTTGATGCAGATAACACGTTTTATATCGGTGTTTGACCTCCAACTAGCCTATTGATATAAACATTTATGTATGTGTGTCATCCGATACATTGTATATGGAAATTATGCAAAATCAATAGAATTAAACTGTGTACTAGTGGAGCTTGCATGCAACGCGTATGTAAATCCAAGAGAAATGTTTTTGAACGGAGATTACCGACATTGTTTACTACAAAATTGTTCAATAAACGATTACTCGAAATTTATTAAGATAATTGTATCACAAATTGTCCCACTATTCCGGTAAAGCGTATCCGGTAATTTTTCAATAAATTTTGCAATTTAATATTGTGATGCATCGTATATTTCTTATAATGTATTTTTTTTTTTAATAAATGTATAAGTAAGATGTTACGAGTGAAAATATTTTTAAAAATTACATGCTAAATGCATTGCTATTGCTTCAGTGCAATTCCATGTCAAGCCTTCATCTTTTGCACTGGGTGCTCGGAAATGTCAACAGAGTATATATCGATTCAATTTTGTTTTTAAAGTGCTTGTGCATAATTATAATTGCGCCGTTTGATATTGTCAGATTCGTCCTACAGAGATAAACACAGACAATAAACCTGTGACAGATGTGTTCGTACAAAAACAAAACAAAAGCAAACTAGAACACAGGCAGTGTCTCGGGGGATTGCTTCAGTAAGCAAAGTACGTTGTTTATCTTTAATATACAGCTCCGCCTTTTCTTTATTGTTTTAGTAAAAAAAACCCATCCAACACGAACTTAAAGCGCGCTTAGGCAAAACATAACATGTGAGAAATCTACTAAGTTTAAATATAGTTTTATGTGGTTGTTAATGGCAGTAGAGACATATATAACACATGCATGTATGTTTCTCGTACCTGATACCTAATAGGACCTTTCAATACGCGGAAAACTTTCGCCTGTTTTACTCCTTTCACAAATAGCGAAAATAAGACATTGGACTAGCGTTTGGTGTTACATGTATATATGTAAAATGTGTAATCAAATGTTTAGGGCGAATTCATACTTGGCGAAAATGGACAGTTTTATTCGTGGATGAGAATAACCCTAGGTAAAAGTACCCCCGTATACGGTGCATTGTATGTAAAACATATAAATATGTCTATTGTTTGTTTTAAGATATAGAATTGAACATTTGTTGCCCTTCCTGACATTTTTTAATCATTTTTTTTAAATGGTACATGTAATGTTGCTCACTACAATTTCTGGTTGACTCATGGCTACACGTAAGTCAGTGCTCTATTAGGTGATTATTGTAACTTTGATAAGTGCATGTATTTATTACACTGTATCCTATGATACATAACTAAATATGTCCTATTTGGTGTTTCCACAGGTGGTGAAAATGTTGGTCATTGTTGTGGTGATGTTTGGCATATGTTGGTTGCCTATCCACGCCTTCACGCTGTTTATAGACTCTCATCCAGAACTCCTAGCAACAAATGAGGATATCCAGTTCTTTATGGGAATTTATCTCACCGCCCATTGGCTTGCTATGTCAAATAGCTTCGCTAACCCGATCATTTATGGTTTTACAAACGCCAGCTTCAGGGTATGTGTTTAAAAATGTGTATTTAATATATGTCATAACATACGTGAAATCCTGACGATCTCATATGATAATAAGAATATATTAAACCCACATCCTTATAGAAATAATCTATCACCAACTAACACACATCCTTATAGAAATAATCTATCACCAACTAACACACATCCTTATAGAAATAATCTACCGCTAACTGGCACACATCCTTATAGAAATAATCTACCACCAACTAACACACATCCTTATAGAAATAATCTACCACCAACTAACACACATCCTTATAGAAATAATCTACCACCAACTGACACACATCCTTATAGAAATAATCGACCGCTAACTGACACATTTCATCACAGAAATAATCTACCGCTAACTGACACACATCATCACAGAAATAATCTACCGCCAACTGACACACATCATCACAGAAATAATCTATCACCAACTAACACACATCCTTATAGAAATAATCTACCGCTAACTGGCACACATTCTTATAGAAATAATCTACCACCAACTAACACACATCCTTATAGAAATAATCTACCGCTAACTGACACATTTCATCACAGAAATAATCTACCGCTAACAGACACACATCATCACAAAAATAATCTACCGCCAACTGACACACATCATCACAGAAATAATCTACCGCCAGCTGACACATTTCATCACTGAAATAATCTACCGCCAACTGACATACATTCTTATAGAAATAATCTACCGCTAACTGACACATTTCATCACAGAAATAATCTACCGCTAACAGACACACATCATCACAGAAATAATCTACCGCCAACTGACACACATCATCACAGAAATAATCTACCGCCAGCTGACACATTTCATCACAGAAATAATCTACCGCCAACTGACATACATTCTTATAGAAATAATCTACCGCTAACTGACACATTTCATCACAGAAATAATCTACCGCTAACAGACACACATCATCACAGAAATAATCTACCGCCAACTGACACACATCATCACAGAAATAATCTACCGCCAGCTGACACCTTTCATCACAGAAATAATCTACCGCCAACTGACATACATTCTTATAGAAATAATCTACCACCAACTAACACACATCCTTATAGAAATAATCTACCGCCAACTGACACACATCATCACAGAAATAATCTACCGCCAACTGACACATTTCATCACAGAAATAATCTACCGCTAACTGACATACATTCTAATAGAAATAATCTACCGCCAACTGACACATTTCATCACAGAAATAATCTACCGCTAACTGACATACATTCTAATAGAAATAATCTACCGCCAACTGACACACATTCTTATAGAAATAAGTTTCCGCCAAATGAAACACATCCACATAGAAATAATCAACCAAAACCTGAGACGCATTATCACAAAAAATAATCTACCACGGTTTTTCATATGGACACACAACAAATTGCGACACACAACACATATTGCAACACACAACACACATCCTTACAGATCTGTTTACAGATTACACAGCATTTACTTAAAATTGGATATACATCACGCATTGTAATTTGTCTTCAAATTAAGGCCTGTTTGTTGGCGCTATAGTTATTGTATCCATTTTTTGACATTATTAACAGCATGCCAATGTTAATTTTATAATATTTATCATTTTTTGTTATAGGCCGACATGGCAGTTCTCCTCAACAAGTGGTTTCCTTGTTGTTTCTGCTTCAAACATATGATGACAAGGACATATAGTCTCTCAAACTATGACAGCATTATCTACAGGAAACATACAGTGATCAGAGGCGGAAGTATGAAAAACAGTACGGGCTCAACAGACTCTTTTAAACGCTCAAGACCCGTACAGTACGTTGGGGATCAACGTAAAGAGTTTCAAGGGTTCAGAAGAACTAGATCAGAAATGCACGTGAAAAGAATAACAGTGAATGGTGTACAGAATGGACACGTCTACTCGTTCAAAACTCCGTCAACCTAATCCAACGGAAGTTCACAGAAGTAATGATTGAAATATGGTGATATATATTCTGTAACAGCGAACAGTAGATATTCAAACTTGAATGATTTTATTAAGTCTATAGCGCCCATTCCACCTGAATTTATTTTTTCCGCATGTGATATATCTTTTTTATGATTAACACTATTTCATATGTAAAAAAAAATCGAACAATCAATTTTTTTTCTTCGTCTTCTATTTTCTTTGTAGTCTGAGTAAAATAGAAGGCAACCCCAGTTTCTTCACAGAATCTGACGTAAATCTAATTTGATAGACCATGATATCGTTAGTTTATAGCCTTTAAAACAAGTCCGAGTTTTAGATCGGATATACCTAGTTTCTTTGTAGACAAAGCAAAACTCCTACTCAACGGATGTAGACGTGTTTATAAATTTGACTAAAATGTTTACCCAGACGCCTGACATGGAACGTATCAAAAACATGTAATGGAAAAAACGTTATCCTTAAAAAAACTGCTTTTGTTCCTCGTCTTTTTCTTCATTTTGGCCACTCTTCATAAAAATAGGCATTCCCACTTTGTTTCTACGATCCTATAGGATAGACTGACATAAAGTGTATTCAGCACCATCAAACTCAGATGTTTCGAAGTAATGGAAGATGTAACATTAAGTTTGTACTGTATTTTACAATGGGAAAGGTTAAGAAGCTTTTCTTAACGCTCAGAAATTCATAAATAACCAAGTGAGCTTCTCTTGCACTAGTCCATGGTGAGAAGAATTGTGCAATATATATTGTAAGATTTCATAATGATATATAGACCTCTAAGTCTCCTCGGCTAGGTGTTGTTAGGAGACTAATTAGCCACGATTTCGGTGAATTCTTGTTTTAGAGCCCGTTTCTTTAATGGAAGCAGTCATCATTAGGTCATTTACTTTCCTACATCAAAGACGTTATGAACCATAAATATCACAGATACTATCAACAAAATGAAATATGTAACACACAAACAGAGTAGTAAAACGTCTCCTTTTAGATCCTACACGTCCATCACCTGTATGTGTGTACTTTGTAGTACAGGGCCTTGACCAGTGTTCGTAAAATGTGCATTGTATTGTAAATATGTTTTGTCTGTTGCTATTTTATTGAGCATGTCCCTTACCTTGCGTGTTTTAGATATACCGTTTGTCTATTACCCTGTGTGTTTTAGATATATCGTCTGTCTATTACCCTGTGTGTTTTAGATATATCGTCTGTCTATTACCTTGTGTATTTTAGATATACCGTCTGTCTATTACCCTGTGTGTTTTAGATATACCGTCTGTCTATTATCATGTGTGTATTTAGATATACCGTCTGTCTATTACCCTGTGTGTTTTAGATCGTCCGTCTGTCCATTACCTTGTGTGTATTTAGATATACCGTCTGTCTATTACCTTGTGTGTATTTAGATCGTCCGTCTGTCCATTACCTTGTGTGTATTTAGATATATCGTCTGTCAATTACCTTGTGTATTTTAGATATACCGTCTATCTATTACCTCGTGTGTATTTAGATCGTCCGTCTGTCCATTACCTTGTGTGTATTTAGATATATCGTCTGTCAATTACCTTGTGTATTTTAGATATATCGCTTGTCCATTACCTTGTGTGTTTTAGATATACCGTTTGTCTATTACCTTGTGTGTTTTAGATATATCGTCTGTATATTACCTTGTGTGTTTTAGATATACCGTCTGTCTATTACCCTGTGTGTTTTAGATATACCGTTTGTCTATTACCTTGTGTGTTTTAGATATACCGTCTGTCTATTACCCTGTGTGTTTTAGATATACCGTTTGTCTATTACCTTGTGTGTTTTAGATATACCGTTTGTCTATTACCTTGTGTGTATTTAGATATATCGTCTGTCTATTACCCTGTGTGTTTTAGATATATCGTCTGTCCATTACCTCGTGTGTTTTAGATATACCGTTTGTCTATTACCTTGTGTGTTTTAGATATACCGTCTGCATTACAAAATTGTCTCAATCGTGTATTCGAGTGAAGAACTGGCCTGCCAAAGTGATAGCGGGGTTCTGTTTCTGAATCGGGCCTGTAATGATCACCTGTTCGTAAATAGGTACCTAAATTGATCATTCCGCCAAGATTGGCGATGTTAATTCCCACACTTTGTTTATGTACCATGCTTAACAAAAAGGAAAACAGGGTAATTATAGCAATATTAGACAGAACATCAAGGTAATTGTTTGAATAAACATTACAAAACGTAATTGTGAATATATAAATATATAGCTTAGTAAGATCATTAAAAAGTCATTGCAAAATCTAGAAATATAGTTATATGTTAATAAAAAGGTTAACATCATTACACCATCTCTAAACAAATTGAATGCACAATTATTCTCCACCAACGACAGTGACAATGAAGTGTTAATTACAGCGTAGTCCCACTGTACAATCTGTGGTATGTTGCCTACAGTTAACATCGTCAGTATTGTGGTGATAGTTATAAAATAATTAATTCAGTATATCATCCTTTTACACTTCTTACCTTATCACTGTAACTGATAGCAGATACATAAATGAATATTTAAAGGCAATCTAGGTGGTCCAGGATTCAATATATTGAATTGTGTGAAGGTGTATTACAAGACGACGTCAAGTAGGCTTAAGGTTTATATAAAATTAGGATTCGTCCGTGTAATACTTTTGCGCATGTATCATCTGTGTAATATACCCTACAGCATTTTACATTGACTGAGCAAGTCAGAAATTGATTGTGACGTCATGGACACTGACGTTACGTCATGAATTGAAATTGGCACAGAAAAATGGCTGCCTCGTTTGATTTGGTCCTTTAAGCTATTTTTCTGAATTATATGTATCTTAAAAATCTTTTCATTTCATATGGGATTTTATTAACTCGTCTCGAATTTTTTACTAAGGCTCTCACAGTTTCAACTTCAAAGACTTGTTTTTATGAAATATATTAAATAGAAACTCCTTTGAGAACATGTATATATTATGAGCGTGTGACATTGCAGCGATCATCGATGTGATGAAGTTAACTAATTCAGTACATGAATATCCTGATATTTCTAATGAGTTGATGTCCTGGCAACAGGAGACCTTTATTGAGGGGGTCTGTCCCTCCGTCAGCAGTCAGAGCCATCACGGAATGGAATCAGCTTGTACACTGTAGTAGTTGAATACCATCCAGGAGAGAAATAGATCCTACGTGTGGTGGAAACTTCGACAGCACAGAGGACGCAGCATTACCGTCTTAAAACCTAGACAGAAATAAAGCAAAATTAATTCCTTTGGTAAGAGAGCAATGTGATACTGCCATGGAGCATTAAGTGATGTTATCACAATGACATTACGTCATCGTTTCTTTAATTGTAGTATCAAGTAGGACACAGGCAGGCTTTCAATTTGATCGATCCAAATGTAAGATTTTCAAGTGGGCATTTTTCTATGGCATTGCAATCACGACAATAAGCCAAGCCAAATATCACCAACATTTGTGGAAGTATTTTATTTTCACAATGCTAACTGTAGTTTGATTTCTGTACCTATATACATCTATTATACAGTAGAGATCGGTATCAGCTGAGCACTGAAGAATGCTTTGCTTTTAAAATCATTTTGATTCCCAGAAGTAATGGAATCTCTTGATAGATAATTGTCAGAGGTTTGATAAACCTTGTATAAAGTGCCAATATCATTTATACATATAATATACCTACACAGAACAATGAGCTAATTTAACATATATACCTACACAGAACAATGAGCTAGTTTAGCTTATATACCTGCACAAGACAATGAGCTAATTTAACACATATATATACAAATAATGTACCTACACAAGACAATGAGCTAATTTAACATATCTATATATATCATACCTACACAACACAATGAGCTAATTTAACATACACATCTACACAAGACAATTAGCCAATTTAACATACATACCTACACAAGACAATGAGCTAATTTAAAACATATATATATACATATAATATACCTACACAAGACAATGAATTAGTTCAGAGAGGTCATTGATATTGTGTTTAATTATATACATATATATACCTACACAATAGGTCAATAGTATTTCCACTTTCTCACATGCTAACGATTTCTTAATTCACGTTACAATTTTTATCACGAGTTTAATTCTGGACGAGTGTTTTATTGGCATTTGAACTTGTGACCAATCAGACTTTCTAAATATAGGTTTAATATGTGTACAGGACTTACTTAGGGCATTTCTTTACACTCCGTGACACGAACTATAATGTTTTGGTAATGGTGTCGCTGATATGTTGTGATATTAATTAATTATAAGTGGTTAGAATCAATCAACAATGTATGGCTGTGTTCAAATGAAGATATGTGTGTATTTGATGTCTTGAAAGTGAACTTTTATTAATATGTACAAATTGCTATTAAATTATCTTATTGAACATTGAAAGTTTTTTGTCTTTGTATTTTAATTGTGTTATGAATGGGTATAATGCATGTATGATAGATGATATCACATCTACCTCGTTATCTTTTCGTTTGATTGCGCCAATATTTATTCGCGAATTTAGTTACGTGTTAGTGGTGATAATAATGACATACATTTAAACTATGTTTTTTTCGGGTAAAAGAGACAAAATGCCACGCCATGATCCTACCAAATACTCAATATTTGCCACAAACGGTAGGAACAAGTTTACATACATATCCCAGTATTCTAAACTGTCGGATGAAGCTCGAGGTCGGAATTGTGACGGAATTGACTTTGCGTTACATTAAAGGACTGACTTTCCAGATCATGGCGTGTTACTGGTACATGCACGACCTTCATATGTTTTACCATGACAACCATCAAGTGAAATCCTTCGGGACAAAGAATGCTTCACGTTGTGATTGAAGAAAAATCCAATTACGACAAGGACTATTTCAACAGGATAACATACACCAGAAAACGAACTAGCATCTTAAATCCCATTCATACGACGCGATTTGCATACCTCGGTATATTTTACACATATGTAAATTTACTTACATGTACAATTTTTGTCGTATGAACTGACTTGCTCATATGCAAATTCTGCACAGTTGAGTAAATTTGCACCTGGTCAGGATTAGGCAGACATGTTGTCGCAAATTATTTGCTCCCGTGTGTAAATTTTGTCGTATGAACACGCAGCAAATTTACTTATGTAAGTATTTTGTCATGTGTATTGCATCAGTCTCTATTTTAAGAGTTGTTATGGTTGTGTGTGCTTTGGCGGGAACAAATATAAATCTGTAAAAATGACGCCTTTCTAACGGAAAACGAATTTGCAATGGCCATTCGTGCTCTTCTAAAACAATAGTTGAAAGTAGACTGAATTTCTGTAAGGGTAGATCTGTTGATGTATGGCTTCAAAAGCCAAGTCTTCAAAGGATACGCTGGGTCGCCAAGAAGAACTACTGGCATTGTACTTTCCCAAAATGGCTTTCGCCACTCTGGAAACAAGGAGCCATTATCTCCTTTGAGATAAATTTCCGAATTTGCATCATGGACCCTTCCTGGCCAACCTGTATTTATGTCTCTAAAGATATAGCTGTGGTCCCAAACACCCTGCAAAATCAAGGAGTAAAACTCTTTCCAGTTCAAGTAGTCTTCATGGGAATACTTAGGAGCTTTGCTTGCCAATGCCAAAGCATTTTCCAATTTTTCACAAAATTTTGAGAATGTTTCCTTTTTCAATCTTCGTCCTTAAAGTCATTAAGTTTCTTTGATTCGCGAACATCCAATAGCTAGTCCTACGCCCAAATAGCAAGGGAATATCTTTTTCTGTGAAAATTCACCAGTCTGAATCGGTCCATCTCCTTGTTTCAAATGACAATTTGGGGATTTACTGACGGTACATAAATCTCTTATGAACGCAGAGCAAATTAACTTTTACTTATGTGTGTAAATTTACTAATGTGTAAATTTGCATATATAATCAAATTTTCGTCGTATGAATGGGGTTTATGAGGAGGCAAGATATCAAAAACCCCTTCAAATATGGAAATAAAACTAATATACTCAGACAAAATTTTCTGTACCCGTCCGGACATCTCCGTGATCATATTTGGTGCCCACCGTGACGCCTCTCGTCAGTACATAAGACACCCGTCATGACGCCTCCGTGATCATATTTGATATCTATGATGACGCTCTCGTCACCACATATGACACTTACCCTGACTTCTCCGTGATCATATTGAGTATCAATAGTTATGTCCATCACCACCACATATAGCATCTGTCCTGACATTTCCGTAATAATATTTGGTTCCCGTCGTGATATCTCTCGTCACCATATCTGACACCTCTCCTGGCATCTCCGTGATCATATTTGATGCCTATCGTGATATCTCTCGTCACCACATATGACACCTGTCCGGACATCTCCATGATCATATTTTGTACCTGCTCTGAGTCCTCTCGACACCACATATGACACCTGCCCTAGCATCTTCATAATCATATTCGGTGCCCGTCGTGACGCCTCTCGTCACCACATATGACACCTGTCCGGACATCTCCATGATCATATTTTGTACCTGCTCTGAGTCCTCTCGTCACCACATATGACACCTGCCCTGACGTCTCCGTGATCATATTTGGTGCCCGTCGTGACGCCTCTCGTCACCACATATGACACCTGCCCTGACGTCTCCGT